ATATATATATATATATATATATATATATATATATATATATATATATATATATGTATATATATATATATGCTTATATCCATATATGCATACGTATATATACAATATATATACATACATACATATTAAAGTCTAAATCCGAGTTTGTTAAATGGAGCCCTTGGAGGCGGACTTTTGCAGAGAAATGTTTGTGAGGCTACCAGCCCTGGCCTGCAGCACTGCGGGGTGTCTGTACACCCCATATTCAGCTGGATTTTTATAGGTGGATCCGTAGGGTGATGGCGCTTCTGATGTTGTTGCTCCCGTTGCGGTTGTTGCTGGTGATGCAGAGGAAGATGCAGCACCAGAAGAAGTGCTCTGATGTTGGGGACCCAGCGCTGGGGTTGTTGTCCATCGTATGACAGTGCCTTGCTTACACTCTGGCGCCGATGCTGCTGTTGTTTCTGTTGCTGCTGATGTTACTGGCATCTGCAAACAGATACCCAAGTCGTAGTATTTACCCCCAGCGCCAGTCTCCGCTGGCGTCTCCGCTGGTGGCGCCAGACGTGGCAGCAGCAGCCTGCAGCAGCAGCAGCACAGTGCATGCAAACAAGAAGAAAAGTACAAACAATTCAACAACTGTAGCAACTCGAGAGCTGCTAGGATACCGTGGGAACGGAGCAGCAGCAGCAACAGCAACAGTAGCAACAGCAACAGCAGCAGCAACAGCAGCAACGGCAGCAGCAGCAGACGAACCGGAAGATTACTGCAGCGGTAGCAACAGCTGCAGCAACCAAAGCCAAACGGCGCCCAGCTGATGGCTCTACGCCCCACCACGCTGCAGCTAGCAGCAAGAACGTCCCTGATACTGCGCTAAGAGCAGAAATAACAACGCGAGTCCACAAAGGCTGCAACAAACAAACAAACAAATAAATAAATAAATGACATAAATGGACAAAGGATAAATATATAGATAAATAAATGAAGAAGTAAATAGAGTGAGGAGTCAATATGATCGATTGAGTTAAT